AAGATGACAGATTAAAACCTACCCACGTCGCGAAAAACTGGCAAAATTTTGAAATCGTATATTCTTCTTATTGTGCCATGCTTTTTCTGTAATAGTTAGAAATTAAAAATAACAATTCGATGTTTTTAAATTTCCAACCCTTCTATTATAACAAGAAAACTTTTGTACGTTTTTAAGAAAGTGTCATTCACGTAGATCCCGGGTTTCGAAAAATTTGAGAATTCTGTTTTCCATAGTTTGGATTACGTCATTAGGCCGTTTTTCGTCACGTGGTGATCCCACTTCTGATGTTGGAGTATTTCTACTTTCGGGTAGCGACATGGTAAGCGGGCGGTCTTCGTAAGTCAATAAAACCAGGAATGTTAACTCAAAGCGTATATTACGCAGGAGCGTTCCGTCTGATACGGCGACTCGCTCGCTTCTGAGCTCGAGAGACAACAACGGAGCGTTTTTATAGCAAGGTATCGTGGTGGGACGATGTTGTTTACGACTCTTATCTTGCACGTGTTGTTTTCGATGAATGCTTGCACGTGTTGTTTGTCGTCCCATCTTTATGAGTCATGAACTAATGGTTTATAAAAACACGCGCCGACTTACATACATTTACAATTATCGAACTATTTTTAAATATATATATTGTAAAGATATCGTTTACTAACATCGTATTCCATAAAAAATATAGATTTAATTATACTGTTTCGAGAATTGAACAGACATTTTCAATTAGCCTTAACAGTACAAGAGCGTTTAAGTACATCGTATTTATGAAGACGCCTTACGATGGCGGTTTTACTTAATACGAAATTTGATATTATAATGAATTTCATTAGACAGTCTTCGCATGCGGCTTCTAATAAGACTATTAACGTTGATAAACATTTTGTGCTTTTGTAGCCCAAAATGTTTAGATTAATGCTATATATATCATGGATATCTAAAATTCCGATAATTTTCATATTCGCGGCACTTCTTTTCTTGAATATATCGTTAACGCTATTCAGGTATCTGTCAAGTTTCTTGTCCTCTATAATAGCTAGTTTTATTAATTTAACATTTTTTTTATTGCTAAGATGAGTGGACAAGCTCACAGCCCACCTGGTGTTAAGTGGTTACTGGAGCCCATAGACATCTACCACGTAAATGCCGCCACCCACCTTGAGATATGAGTTCTAAGGTCTCCGTATAGTTACATCGGCTGCCCCGCCCTTCAAACCGAAACGCATTACTGCTTCACGGCAGAAATAGGCAGGGCGGTGGTACCTACCCGCGTGGACTCACAAGAGGTCCTACCACCAGTAAAAAATTTGATAAGGTACTTTAAAAAGTGTTTTAAAATTACTTTTTCTTCTTCTTCTACGCTATCCATAAAAATTACAATTCGAAATATAAACTAGAAAATAAAAAAAAATAAAAAAATAACGTTGAACCACTAAGTAAGCTTTCCTCCGCCCGTTGCGTCGCTCATTAATTTCCTCAAAAATAAAAAGGATAGATCATTCATTCACTTCGCTGATGCTCGCCATTCAAGCTCGGCTCGCAAAAAACTGCTTCGAATTGACGCCTCTAATTAAACCCAATTTACAAGAGAACCCTTGCTCGGCATACCCAGTAATTTACGACACCGCTGCGGAAAACACGATGTTCAATTCCGACTTAATTTGTTTTTACGCCAGTAAAATGTGTGCGCGCGTAACGCTCTTTAATCACCACATGTTTTTTGTCGTTAAAATTAATTCTGAAACAGTAATAAACGGTTTTACATGCGGCAGCAGTTTTTAGCCGACTTTGAAAAAGAGGAGGTTATCAATTCGTATTTGTTTTTTTGCATGTGCTTTGTTCACTCAGAACTTTTTACTGTGTGAATATATTTGTTCGATTACAAAGGTGGCGCTTCTCACGCGGTTAAATTTTATCAAGACCAGACCAGTATTTTTTTCTACGATTTTCACGAATTTACGTCCAGGCAGGCGTAAATTCGGGTACAATTCCCATGATCTACGCGCAGCCACAAGAGGGATAGACCCGATTGCTCGAGGCTCCGAAGATAGCAACAACAGACATCGACAGGAAGCTTTTTTATTGCCTTTGTAGGCAGAGGAGCATGCGGCCCACTTGACGGTAAGTGGTTACCGTCGCTCATGGACGTCAGTAACGCCAGGGACAGAACCAAGCCGCTGCCTACCGTTTAATACTCTCCACAAGCCTCGTTTGAAGAAGGACATGTCATAGCGCTCGGGAAACACCGTGGAGGGGAGCTCATTCCACAGCCGGATGGTGCGTGGCAAAAAAGATCTCTGGAAGCGCACTGTGGATGACCGCTGTGGCTCCAGGTAGTATGGATGAACTCTACTCCGGTGGCGGGCGGTGCGGTGGTAAAAACGAGATGCCGGTATCATCTCGAATAATTCCTCAGAGCATCTTCGGTATCACCTTAATATTACACCTTAATATTATAACACCTTAATACTACCTAACCTATTTATAAATGCTATCAAATAAGTATAGATAAAAAAATGAACTGGAATGTGAAAAAAATGTCTGGTTGCACTGACCACAAATCTGTTCGTTACAATAAACTGTTGTTACAATAAATATAAAACCTAAATACCATATTATACGAATTTCAAATTCTTATTTCAATTCACTCCGAAATAACATTTGAGCAAAATGTGTTGTTTCTGAGTGAATTTTCGTGTTTGTTCCATGTTCATTAGCTTTATTCGTAAGCTTTCAATTTACTCATTCACGTGTAGACTCTAATGTAGAATCTGGCTTATATCCCGACGGAGACTATAAAAGCATTTTTCCAAACGCAACAAATTCTAACAGACACAAAACACTCGAGCGTCGAGGCAAAAATAAAAGCGTTAACGAAATAGACGACAAAAATCTGTTTCTACTTTTCAATAGTCCCGTCTATCTCGCACCATCTGTAAAGTAAGAATGTAAGAGCAGGAGCCACTATTTAGGAGTGAAGCCAAGGTTCTGTCGGGTATAGATCTGGCACTAAGTGATTTTATATCTACCGCTAATGGAACTGAGTATAGGCTTTTAACTCATAAACAGCGCGCGAGAAGCATGTGATTTCAAATTGTATGCTTTATTGAGTTCTATTTTCCTTTGTTTGAAAACTATTTTTGCTTAAACCTTCGTCTGAGGGTCGGAAAAGGGATGACATTTTTATTTTTATCCTTCGCTTCGCTTACTAGGGCGGTAAAATACTTCTAATGACTCGTCGTCCAATATTAGAACAGTCTATTTTAATTCATTGTGATTGGCAATGAAAATATTTCCGCACTTATACATAGATCCTTCTGTTCAATTATAATGAACTTACGTTCTTTATTATGTAATTAAACTGGTCAGGTTTTTTTTATTGCTTAGATAGGTGGACGAGCTCACAGCCCACCTGGTGTTAAGTGGTTACTGAAGCCCATAGACATCCATAACGTAAATGTGCCACCCACCTTGAGATATAAGTTCTAAGGTCTCAAGTATAGTGCTACAACGGCTGCCCCACCCTTCAAACCGAAACGCATTATTGCTTCACGGCAGAAATAGGCGGGGTGGTGGTACCCACCCGCGTGAACTCACAAGAGGTCCTACCACCAGTAATGTTTGTTAACAGAACCAGTTTTCTAATAGAACATTAATAGGAATCTAAATTTAGAGCTCGTAAAGGATACAAAGTCGTCGTGGCCTAACGGATAAGACGTCCGGTGCATTCGTGTTGAGCGATGCACCGGTGTTCGAATCTCAGGCGGGTACGAATTTTTCTAATGAAATACGTATTCAACAAATGTTCACGATTGATTTCCTCGGTGAAGGAATAACATCGTGTAATAAAAATGAAACCCGCAAAATTATAATTTGTGTAATTACTGGTGGTAGGACCTCTTGTGAGTCCGCGCGGGTGGGTACCACCACCCTGCCTATTTCTGCCGTGAAGCAGTAATGCGTTTCGGTTTGAAGGGTGGGGCAGCCGTTGTAACTATACTTGAGACCTTAGAACTTATATCTCAAGGTGGGTGGCGCATTTACGTTGTAGATGTCTATGGGCTCCAGAAACCACTTAACATCAGGTGGGCTGTGAGCTCGACAACCCATCTAAGCAATAAAAAAAAAAGATTCCTTGCGCATAAGAAAATATATTTTTAATTCATCTAACATCGTTGGTACGGTATGAAATAAAAGTGTTATTTGGAAAAATTGTCTTTATTTTTATTTTTAAATTGGAAATAAATCGTATTTACAAAAACACGTAACACCAGTTAAGCAGAGAAACAACTTTTACATATTATACAAGCAATTTACATAGGTGCCTTCCGTGGATCAAAATATACATATAGGTGAAGAAACCCTGTGTCATTCTCAAAGGTTTGGCAACATTCAGTAACATTATAATACTGGGAATATTTAAAACTATTTACATTTTATCTACGCTTTACCACTAGCAACTAGATGCTCCCTCTCAAGATTTCCCACACCCGTGAAATTACAATAGCTTGTTACAGTATGAACAGACATTAATAAATTGAAAAAATTGTAGCTTAAAAATAATGTAATAAGAATTTGCAAGCTCCATTCTTTTAGTAAAATCGATTGTCTGTAAAGTCGGTTTACTGACGATAGTTGAACGTGACAACGTCATAAGAAAATACTGATGGAATGGTTTCACTTTTCAAAAGAATTTTTTTATTTTATTTGTTTGATAGATATTTATGTAAATGTATTATTGTATAGCAGATGTCCACGCGTATGCATGGCTCACTCAAGTAGGAGAGAGACAGATGTCGAACGCTGCCGAACGCGGAGGCCGATTGTGCTTCTTTGTCGCTCGTTGCGCGCTCTCGCTTGCACTTCAAGCCTTAAATGGAACGCCTCAGAGCGAGGTAACGCCGCATAAGTTATGTTTTTTCGTGCGTGCAGCCGGCTCCATCGAATTATAAGACGTTATCACGTCAAAAATATTTTAAGTAAAGCTAATATTATCAAATGTGATACTATTAAGCATTATTAAGGTAGGAATCGGGTGTGTTCTTAAACTAATCGCTTATTGCTGTGGAAGCATAATCTAAAATATTTAAAATAAATAAAATATGTGGACATTAGAGTAAATATTATTTTTAATATTTAAAATTTTAACATGAATACACTCAAGAGTAGGAGAGCTGTCTTCTTCTGTGCTGCCCTTAATAAATTACGATATTTTTATAGCTGTCATTGACAGAATTATTAGCACTCGGCACGTTCCCTTTACGGTATATGATCACCGCTGCCCATGGACATTGAAGATACCAGAAGCCAGACAATTAAATTGTTCAGTGTATTCCACGTTTGAAGTTTTGATTCAACACAGCTAGACAACTTTTAATTTTGGCAATAAGAAGTATAACTTTTAAATTATTTATATTTCAAGGTTAGTCACTAAAAATTAGTATTATATTTACATTTTTTTGTTAAAATTCTATTATTAAACTATATTTTACTATTGTTTTCTTTTCTTCATACGGACTAGACTTTTGACAACTGTAATTTAAAATCGATTTTTTAAAATGGAACGTAGAAGGTGCTTTATTTTTCTTAGAACATGTTTTCTCGAAGGAACTTCTCTAGGCCGTGATAAAGATGCGGCCTCACGCCAATTAGATCGTGGTCTTCATCGGTGTAGCTCTGAAAAATGAAACTTAATTATAAGACGTCCAATCCTAAAATATCTACAATTCATGAAACGCATTACAAAAGTTTGGTTTTGTTTTGCTCTCAATATAGCAACGTACTAATGAATCATTTTTGTATATTTCAAATACTTTGGTTTCTAAATTAGTCAAAATATTATAATCTTCAAAAAAGTAAAAATTGGTTTTGCAGCAACGATAATAATATGTGGTTTTCCAAAAATAGTTGCTGGAAAGTAAACTGCTTAATACCTTCGTAACGTAAAACCCCATGTGCCTAATTTAGTATTAATTTAGTGCATCCAAAATCTTAACGGTAAAAAGTTTTTAAATTATTCAAAATAGTCAAAATAAATTAGTCAAAATATTATAATTTTCCAAAAAGTAAAAATTGGTTTTGCAGCAACGATAATAATATTATTATGTGGTTTTCCAGAAATAGTTTCTGGAAAGCAAACTGCTTAATACCTCGGTAACGTAAAGCCCCATGTGCGTAATTTAGTATGAATTTAGTGCATCCAAAATTTTAACGGTAAAAAGTTTTTAAATCGATTGCAACAATTTATACATAGGTAAATTACTCAATGTTATCCGAAGGAGATACCTTGAAATTCATCGAATTTTTGAAATTCCTAAGTTAGGAATTGTAATTAATGACAGTACAATTTACAATGGAACTCTTCCTTGTGGATGGGCCTAGTAAACTTTTTTAGCACCAGGTGAATTGGTATGGCAATAAACATATATTATTTACTTTTAAAAAGCTACATATTTAAGCTCTCATTAATAATGCACTTTCCGGACATGTTGTAACTCAGTATCTTTGTTATTCCAAATTAAGTGAGAATTTGTTCAAATTCCATTCCGAATCAAGGTTTAGCAATGTCAGATATTTCACAGTAAGAGCAATCGACCCCCCCTGGGACTGTATGCTGAAATCGCTAATGTCCTAAAGTAGGTAATAAATTTATCCCAACGGCCGCATAGTCCGTTCCAAGAGTCTGATAGTACATATTATTATAGTGTGAAGATAGGTACGATAAATAAGAGGATTGATGTTGGACGAACAATTTTATTTTGGTATCTGTTATTTTCTTAGGTAATAAAATTAAATGTGACCTATAACGTAACTACCTTGCTACTCTACTAATTTATTGGCAGAATGATATTATCTTTTTTTTATTAATCTTGCTGGGTATAATAAAATATGAATGTAGTTGAAATGAGAGTCGATCTTATCTTTCTACGTGGAACGTTAAAACAAATTGAATAAATCAATTGGAATAGAACAAATTCGATCGAATCTTGATGTGTGCTAAGGATATTTTCAAGTTAATTTTTATGTACACAAGTTACAAAGGATAAAATCGACTATCTACTTCGAAAAAATACAAACTTTTTGGGTGGAAAATATTCCCTTTACCTTTTCATCTTCTGTAGACCCCAACATTTAAACTAAAGAGGCGATCAAACTTTATATGGGCAAGTTTAGTAGGATGTTTTCTGGACGCGGTCCAAAAAACATAAATTCCCGATCTCCGAATAACAGTAGCAAAAACTATAACTAGTGACCGTATCAGATGGATAAGACCACTAGTTAAAGGGAATTAAATTGCTAAGCCTCGTAACAGAGATACTAATTAAAAAAAAACGTTTTAATAGCACACCATTGAACAAATACTAGTTAAATAAACAAAGCAGAAAATAAAATATAAGTCATATAGACAACAGTACAATCAAATTCTAAAATAGGAGCAAACGAAAAGTTTGGTAATTACCACGCACTTAAACGATAAATAGCCAATTTATGGAAAACACCTGCTCATACCATCCCCATAGTAGCCATTATTTTTTTCCTACCTATTAACCTCCACCCCCGTGGTGCATCCCGGTCATTCCCCAAGTGGGCACTGAAGCGCCTGAATAAGGCGCTCCTGATGGAAGCCTCTACGGTGGCGGCGTGGGCGCCCATGCGTCCACACCCGGTCGAGGTCGAGGGAGAGGCGGGGTGGTTCCGGGACACGATGCGTCGCATCTGTGATGCGTCGATGCCCCGGATCGGCCCTAGACTCCCTAANTAATCGTCTCCTTCAAAGAATACGGTTCAAAACCTGCATTAAATAAAGGTTAATAGTTAACCTGTTATTTATCTAAGATGTCGTTCCGAAGAGTTTTGTGACTGCCAATGGAATACAAAGTCAATAATTCGTTTTTCTGATTTACCAATAATTGTCCAAAAGTCAGATTGCCGGCTTTGATAATAGTCGACTCATATATAGGTAATTTACTCAATTTTATCTGAAGGAGACACCTTGAAATTCATCGAATTTTTTGAAATTCCTAAGTTAGGAATTGTAATTAATGACAGTAAAATTTACAACGGAACTCTTCCTTGTGGATGGGCCTAGTAAACTTTTTTAGCACCAGTTGAATTGGTATGGCAATAAACATATATTTACTTTTAAAAAGCTACATATTTAAGCTCTCATTAATAATGCACTTTCCGGACATGTTGTAACTCAGTAGCTTTGTTATTCCAAATTAAGTGAGAATTTGTTCAAATTCCATTCCGAATCAAGGTTTAGCAATGTCAGATATTTCACAGTAAGAGCAATCGACCCCCCTGGGACTGTATGCTGAAATCGCTAATGTCCTAAAGTAGGTAATAAATTTATCCCAACGGCCACATAGTCCGTTCCAAGTGTCTGATAGTACATATAGGTAGGTACGATAAATAAGAGGATTGATGTTGGACGAACAATTTTATTTGGCATCTGTTATTTTCTTAGGTAATAAAATTAAATGTGACCTATAACTTGCTACTCTACTTATTGGCAGAATTATATTATCTATTTTTAATTAATCTTGCTGGGTATAATAAAATATGAATGTAGTTGAAATGAGAGTGGATCTTATCTTTCTACGTAGAACGTTAAAACAAATTGAATAAATCAATTGGAATAGAACAAATTCGATCGAATCTTGATGTGTGCTAAGGATATTTTCAAGTTAATTTTTATGTACACAAGTTACAAAGGATAAAATCGACTATCTACTTCGAAAAATACTAGCTTTTTGGGTGGAAAATACATATTCCCTTTACCTTTTCATCTTTTATAGACCCCAACATTTAAACTAAAGAGGCGATCAATCTTTATATGGGCAAGTTTAGTAGGATGTTTTCTGGACGCGGTCCAAAAAACATAAATTCCCGATCTCCGAATAACAGTGGCAAAAACTATAACTAGTGACCGTATCAGATGGATAAGACCACTAGTTAAAGGGAATTAAATTGCTAAACCTCGTATCAGAGATACTAATTAAAAAAAACGTTTTAATAGCACACCATTAAACAAATACTAGTTAAATAAACAAAGCAGAAAATAAAATATAACTCATATAGACAACAGTACAATCAAATTCTAAAATAGGAGCAAACGAAAAGTTTGGTAATCACCACCCACTTAAACGACAAATAGCCAGTTTATGTAAAACACCTGCTGATACCATCCCCATAGTAGCCATTTTTTTTTCCTACCTATTAACCTCGAGGAGTTATTTTAGATTCACCGAGCTCTAATTATTGTGTCATAAATTTATAAAATTATGAATGTGAACTATGTATGAGTGTACTTTTTATACACAAGATGGAAGCCTTAAGAGGAAATCCATATTTTTTAGACCTGTGTCTATTATTATTTTAATTTTTTTAAGCATGGGGTGGACGTAATTTCGTTCACAATTGATAACCGGAGCCCATAGCATCAACAATGTAAATGCTGCTACTCATCTTGAGACATAAGTTCTAGGTTCAGTTTCTACAGTACAACAGCTGCCCCACCCTTCGGTTTGAACCGAAACGCATTATTACTTCAAGGCAGAAATAGGCAGAGTAGTGCCTACCCGTTTGGGCTCACAAAGTAATTACGCAAAAAACAATTTGCGGGTTTGTGATATATAGATTTATTTTATTTACACGATGTTATTTCCTTCAGCACAAATGTTATTTTTGTACATTTGCTAAGTACGTATTTCATTACAATAATTGGTTCGAGTCAATGATATTTTATATGTAAAAATTATTTTTGTATAAAAAAATCATTGGTTCGAGTTAATTACATGGTTATTCACCACGGTAGCACGGAAAACGCCCAGACTACCTACCCATAGGTGAGTAGCAACTCTTCTGTTATCATTGAAAGTCCTAGTAATATTATAAATATGAAAGTTTGTAAGAATATATGGATGTATATTTGTTACTCTTTCACGCAAAAAGTAATGAATGGGTTTTGATGAAACTTTACAATAATGTAGCTTACACATCAGAGCAAATAGGGTATAATTTATAAAGAAACTAGCTGACCCGGCAAACATTCTTTTGCCATATATAAGATTTCTAGGGAATTACTAGTGTAAAAAAAAAAACTAACTTATTGTAAGTGTGTAAGGATGTGGTAAATGAGTGAAAGAGGTATGTAGTGCTGTGAACGATGAGGGAATATATAATAAAAATAACAAAACCTCATTCAACCACATAATACCTCATTATAACAAAAAAAATGTCCAAATAAAAAAAAAATGTTAGGGGTGGACAACCCTAATCACTTAGGGGTATGAAAAATAGATAGTAGCCGATTCTCAGGCTTACTGAATATGCATAAAAAATTTCAGGAGAATCGGTCAAGCGGTTTCGGAGGAGTATGGGAACGAACATTGTGACACGAGAATTTTATATATTAGATAGTGTGAATTACCCAAAATATAACGAACGATAAGTGTCAAGTAAGTAGGAAAAAATCGACCACTGCGAGCTATTCTAGCGTGCGCTGCAAAAACCTTTGGAGTTACACATTAATAACATATATTAAGATAATGTTTATCTTAAATAGTTCTAGAAAAATGCGCGTGACACCATAAAATATATCTTTCTTTTATGTGTAAGCCATTATCGCCAAATTAGTGAACCAAAAATGCAAAAAAAAAAAGATAATTTATATACGCACATTTGGTAGTCACAAATTGATATGAAAATAAATACTTTTATCGCATCTAATAATTACAAACTTACAAACGAACAAATCACAAACAAACTTTGTCTTTTACACTACATTGTTTGGACAAATATTTGAATAGTTATGACTATAAGCAATCGACTGTGTGACAAATTACAGTTCCCCAAGCAAAGCGTGGGCGAGTCGCGTTATTATAAAAATATAATAAAACAGAAAACCGACTTCAACAAAATGAAATGAGGATATCATCAATACAGCCGAAGTTGATTAAATATGCATTATTAACGGTATTTCAAGAACTACTGCTCATTAAGATACCAGATACTGGTCAGATTAATGTGACTAAAAGAATCATCCAATTCAGTTCATCTAGAAGAAGAGCCTTGAACGTTCTGAGGTAAGACACATAAAAAACCAGTAGAATTGTATCGTTTAGAATGAAGTTGGATAAATGTAAAAGAACACACTTACCATTTGTGTGAAGTAGATGTCCCGCCTCTGCAAAAGCCGCGAGATCAGCATAGCGTGTTGGTAATGCACATTGTCGTCCGCTGTGCCGTGAACGAGGAAATAGCTTTTACTTTTGTATGAATCCACCTGTTAGGAAACAAAGAACATAATAGATCAGAATGCTACTAATCAGAGGTGCCATTTCTATTTGACACTCCGCATGTTTTTTAAAGGGATTTTCATTGAAAATCGAAGTATCAGTTAATTTCTGCTATAACTCTAACGTAACGGAAACCTATTTATTAATAAAAAATAAATACGAAACATTTTTATCAATTATACTTTCTGAATTTTTCCCTTGCTTCAATAAAACGTATGTCTGTGGGGAACTGCACTCACTAAGCCTCAAGCGGTGCTTGGTGCAAGGACCTGCGCTTGTACGTTGTTAGAGAGATCTTTCTAATAAACGATGTATTACGTCTGTTAACAAGATCATTTGTTCACGGGAACCCTCCACAGACATGCTACATTTGATAATTCTGATAATTTGCCGTGTTAAGCTCCCACAAGCTGAGAACTGTGCCCTGTCATTTAATTCTGCGAACTGGACGAAGATTATTTCGAAGACGCTACTCGTAACGCTTCATAATTAATAATTCAGTAAGCACGACTTTGTTGTGTTAGCGTTGTTGACATCCATGAGTGACCGTAACCACTCACCACGAGGTGGGCCATAAGTTCACCTGCCTACTAAGGCAATATATTTAAACCTAGATATCTAACCTGCGATCTTTTTTTTTATTGCGCAGATGGGTGTACGAGCTCACAGCCCACCTGATGCTAAGTGGTTACTGGAGCCCATAGACATCTACAACGTAAATGCGCCACCCACCTTGAGATATAAGTTCTAAGGTCTCAGTATAGCTACAACGGCTGCCCCACCCTTCAAACCGAAACGCATTACTGCTTCACGGCAGAAAATGGCAGGGTGGTGGTACCTACCTACGCGGACTCACAAGAGGTCCTACCACCAGTAAAACCTGCCTATTAAGGCAAAAAATATATTTAAACTTAGATATTTAACCTACGATCTCTGTATGAAAATCGAATACATTACAGCTTGGACCACGAGCACGATGGAATCGATTCAGAAAATTGAACAATACGTTCCTGGGTACTTTAAATATTACTGTGGCATTTAAGGGCCATACGTACCACATCATTGACCAACAGCGATGAAACGGCGTAGCCCTCTACGTTGTTCTGTGGCAGATCCATGTAACGTTCCGTGTATATTGTATCTGAAAGTAGATTGATAAATCATTACGCGTTTTGAATTGCGTAGTTTTTAAATTAACCTAACTTAAGCCCACTTTGCCAGAAAGAGTTAGAAAAGCTGCTGGTAACAGGCAAGGTATGCGGAACAGGGTCCCAGAGACAGAAGTTCAATGCACTGGTCGTACCAGATACGCTCTACTCACCACGCTTCAGTTCACGATGCCATCCGCGCAGCCGAGAATAGGCAGGGCTGGTGCAGGATAATCCAGAAATAAAGTTATTAAAGGAGGCTACAACCCTCAGCGTTGAGGGTTATCGACGCTAGTAAGAAGAGGAAGCCTACATATTAATTCCTATGCTAATGTAGAAAAAAAAATTAAAGCTATTTTGGAGACCGATGATAAACTCACATCTGCTGTGTTAAGCCTACGTAACGAGAAGAATTCTCAATTAAAATTTAACACAATCAAGTATCAAAATAAATTGACCGCATTGTGATGGGTAAAGTAGATGGAAGACGATCTAGAGGTCGGAGCCAAAAAAAGTTGGAGTGACCAAGTGTCGGAGTATCTTTTATTTATTTATTTTATTTATTAGGCACACAATACACATCACAAGCTAAAAAGATACATAAAACACACACAATTAAAAAGAAACAAAATCTGGCTTGCAACATAAGCCACGTGCGCACGACAAAGCAAGACTATGGACAAGAGATTGAGCCACGCACTTCACTTTGCCACTGACCGACCTAATTACAAACAGGCTACAAATTACTAAAAAAGGTCACAGGCAGGCGCATCACGATGCTCAGCAATGAGCGATCGACTGAAGGGGGAGGAGAGATCCGCTTGGCATTTGAGAACTAGCTCACCATAGAATTTCCAGTCGACAACAGGAGCGACTGCAGCAGCACATCGGAATACATCTCCACCACGGGCGAGAGCCAGGGAGGCCGCGTAGCCGCCGTACGACCAGCCCCAGATACAGGTGCGATTAGCATCGACATACGAAAGTTTTTCTTGTAAATACCTAAAACGATAAATAAAATTGTGTATTCTTTGATTTTCACGAGTCATTTGAAGTCGTCGTGGCCTAAAGGATAAGACGTCCGGTGCATTCGTGTTGAGCGATGTACCGGTGTTCGAATCTCAGGCGGGTACAAATCTTTGTAATGAAATACGTACTCAACTAATGTTCACGATTGACTTCCACGGTGAAGGAATAACATCCAGTAACCACTTAACACCAGGTGGACTGTGAGCTCGTCCACCCATTTAAGCAATAAAAAAAAAACAGTATCAAAACTATAGATATGGATTAAGCTAGCGTTTATTTTGTAAAGAGACTTATAATAAATAAATAAATAATTTTAGGAAAATTTGAGGGTAGTTACAACGATATTTAAACATCGATGATTATAAGCGAAGATTATAAGCGAAGATTATAAGCGTCGTCTTCCGTGAACAGAGAAATATCGGGGATAATAAAATAAGAATTACAAACGCTATATCAAACCGTAAAATAAAACCGTAAAATAAATAATTTACTTATAAATGACAAACTTACAAAGGAACTATCTCAAGTTTATCGCGGCCGATTCTCACTCAATAGTTTTCTAAAAGAAAACTGGGCCCGTGCTTAGATTTTAAAATGCCCAAATCACGGTTGCTCACAATTAGCAATCTTGTGGCTTTTTATTGATTGAGTACACATGAGGATGGCATCACAATCTCACTTTAGCCAAAGACAATAAAGAGGTGTCGTACTCTTTAGAGAAAGTTGTTGAAAATTGAGAAAAAGACTTACTTTGTAACAGAAATCTGATCTTCTATCTCCACGGTACCAAGTTTTCTGTTCAGAGCAAACAAATTGTTAACGCCTCGGTTTCCAGCTCCACGACCGTCGATATGAGCCACGGCGACGTTCCAGCGACTGACAAGGTAACTGCCCCAGTCAATCGACCACTGCTTCGTTACCAGTGATGTGTCGGGACCGCCGTACCTGAAATTATTATTCAATAACTTTCACTGGAAATTATCATCGTTTGAATTTCGGTTCCCCGTAACACAATTGCACTCACACATACACGTAAGTAATTAAATTGACAATCAAATTAGAACATACAATACACTATCTAGATATTTTTTTAAAAATTTAATATTGATCATAATTTTATACAATAACCTACTACCTGTACCCGTCCGCTTCGCTGGGCATTTAAAATTAAAGTTATTATTTCTCACCCCCACAAAGTTTCTCATCATTAACGCCCCCGCAACTGGTGTAGGGAGTCCAACACTCATATAAATATTAGCCTATCCATTAAGTACATGTATTTTCTAAATGGATACCAAGTTTCAAGTCAATCGAATGCATGGTTCAATAGTTATAACGGAACATCCGTAAAAACCACTGTAGATTTATATATTAGCATAGATTTTACGTGATTAATAAAGCAGAACAATCTGATAATAATACGACAATAAACATTAGGTAAATGTATGCCAAAGGATCAAAGAACGAAAGAGTCATTGATCGAAGATACGAGAATATACTGACACTTATGCTGACTGATAAACTGACTGACTGGCTAATACTAACACATAAACAAGAAGAGGCAAATTGGTCCGATGCTGGTAATCTGCTGGAACTTGTATCTGGACGTCAGCGTTGGGGTAACCTGCGGCAACTGGTACGGACATCCGCACTGTGGTCGGAAGAATTTTGTTGGCCACCAACGATAAGAGCTCCGAGTTTGTGTCCCATTCTTTGATAAGGTTACCACTCTGGAATTGTGAAGTATTATGTTGAAATGATTATGTTTTTCAATTTAAAGTATAAATATTTTTAGATGGGTGCATGAAATCGCGGCACACCTAGCGTTTAGTCATTATCGGAGTGCCTAGACATTGCTGAAGTGCATGAACGATGGGAACTAGTAGGTGGGCCATATGAGGCCGTCAGCGCAAAAGTGGCCTAAGCTTACCATAGTTATTAAGGAGCAATGAGGTTTAAGTTTTCATGAATTTGAATTTTAAAAAACAATACGCGCAAAAATAATATTTACAAAGCCATCTGCTATCTATGGGTGAAACTATGGATAGGCCGGTTTTGCATCGAAATTGATTTATTTTAAATGAATGGAAATATACATATAAGCATGATTATAAAAAATTGTTGGGTAGGCCACTTTTGCGCTAACGGCCTCTTATGTTCGTCTGCTTATAAGAAATTAGATAAGCCATCATGCCATTTAATTTGAGACATGGTATAAAAGTCTCATTACAATTCTACCCATTCTAATGGTCTAACCATGAGGACGAAAGTTTTGTTCGATATGAGTATTAGAAGTAGAGTGAGGTTTTTATATATTTTTTTATTTATTCAACTTCATGCACAAAGGTACAATGGCGGAATGGCCTGAAGCATTCTCTACGCCATTTTCCTTTTCTCTGTCATTCGGTCTGTCATTCTCTTTCCCTTTCTTTCCGTTTTCTCTCACTCACATCTTAACGTTCCGTTCCGCACTCTTTTCATACGTTCCGTTCTTACCAATCCTACATACATATATAATCACTAGCAGACCCGGCGACACGTTGCTGTGGCTAAGGTTTTTGTTTCTAAATAACACGCGGCCGGCTATGATAATAGCAAAAATTGACAAAGTAAGAACAATTGGATTTCACTGTATTGCGTTTACTATAAAAAAAATCACTTATACTTTAGCCTCAGCAACACGTGGTGCTTATGTCATTAAATTGTAGCTTATCTGAAACGTTGGTATTTTGAACACAACGCCATCTATGAGATATTAATGTCAGACAGTATTACAATTGTCTGTAAAAACTGATTTAAGGCGCCATCTGTTTTAGACTTATGAAACTTACAATTAATAACAAAAATCAACATAATAAATTGTTAATTAATAAATATTGCGACCATTAATCGAAATAAAAACCATCCTATCTTTTTCAAGTTGGATCAAACTGCACACGGTGTGCAAATTTAATTTAAAATGGGTTATAATAAGTTATATAATCATATACACATTCGTTTTTAATGATTGAATTATGCTCACACTGTCGAAGATGAGAACTTGCGGAACGTCAGGTCCGGCACAGTTGATCGTGATCCGCTCGCCACTCGAACTGATGGTAGCTTCGTTATACAAGCACTGTCCGCCGTCCAGCCTTCGGATCTCGCAAGTGAAGCACGCAACCTCACGGGCGCTGTTCACGGTGTATATATGTTGTTCTGCGGGGTCGTTAACCCGTGTGGCTCGGTACCAGCTGGAAAAAGCGAGACAATTCATAGCCTTTAGTTTCCGAAACTTTAGATTTTTGCATGCATACATTTTACTGGTGGTAGGACATGTTGTGAGTCCGCACGGGTAGGTAACACCGCCCTGCTTATTTCTGCTGTGAAGCAGTAATGGGTTTCGGTTTGAAGGGTGACGCAGCCGTTGCAACTATACTGAGACCTTAGAACTCATGTTTCAAGGTGGGTCACGGAATTTACGTTGTAGATGTCTAATGGGCTCCGGTAACCACTTAACACCAGGTGGGCTGTGAGCTAATCCAACCAAGTATGCAATAAAAAAATAAAAAACATTAATAACGAACGTTCTAGAAATTATGACAGACAATATATTGGTTTTCTTAAATAAGGTGAAATTCGATAAAACGCTTCGTCTATTTGTATTAAGCGAAGCGTCAATACCGGGTTATTCAGTAAGCACAGCTCAATATTTTAAAGGAAGTACTTTCTAAGTACTTCTTATTTATTGGTTAGATGAATCGACTAGCTTACGGCCCACCGGGTGTTAAGTTGTTACGTGCCATACTGCCTAAGTTTCAGCTTTTACAGTACAACATCTGCTCTACCCTTCAAATGTAGGTACGCGTGGGCATCTCCATCCTTCCCGTTTCGATATATCATTTTGAAGGTTAGGAGCAAAAAAATTAAGAGTTCGATATTACGTCTCAATATCGGTAGGTCGTGAACTAGTCCGCCCAGAAAGTGGAAAACACATTTGTTGTTCAATTGTTAGTATATCTATCTTATTCAATATATCTTACATGATATCATTCGAAGACCAGTGCAGGATTTCCGAAACGGTGTGAGCTGTGTTGGTCCTTCCCGTACTCTGCCAAGTTGTGCCTGTGCCGCGTGAAACTTGCACAATCTGCTTGTACCGAACTCCATCTACAGCCTAAAGCAAGAAATTTATGATTTAATCGAGACATTGACATATGAAATGAAATGCATGGCATTAAATCAAATTTTAAATAATTAATCCTTAATCGTCTTTCTAAATATTGTGCGCGCGAAACTAGTTGGCCGCGCCTTAGGTATGTGAGCGGCGGGACGGAGTGGCGGGGACAAAACGCACATGAGATTGCAATAGCGAGATGAGTCCACCGATAAAAAGACAATCTAAAGAAATAATATTTCAAGTGCATAAGTTTTTAAAAATACTGAAAGCCAATTTGTCAATAGTTTAGAATATAAAATTAATTCTAAAATACCTACATAAATTAGTAGCAGAGGCAACAGGGATATCAGAACGAAGTGTAAGGATAGTGATTGCTGAAAGTAAAACTTCCTTGCAAAATACAGGAGAAGCAAACTTTAGTTCCCTACGGAGACCAAAAGAGATAAAAAAGAAAAGACAATTTAATGATTCTGATTTAGGAGTGATAACAAGAAAAATAAAACAGTTTACTATTAATTACTTCTACTCTTACTCGATCTGGACTAAAAATGCACTAATCAAAACTGCATAAATTGCGTAATAAAATAATAATAATAATAAGCGCATTATTATATCATAAATAGCATAAAAGCAGTTAGTTACTAGTGTTATTTTATTAAATTATTTTTACAAAATCACTTACAAAAGGCAAAATTGTCACGAAAGAATCGCCCGCGTTATTAAAGAGCAGTGGAATATTGTCGATCCATCCGTTAGTTTCTGTGTATTGGTATATCTGAAATAAGAAACATTAATATGAAATTGTTGCTTACACTTAACTACATTATTAATAAAATAATAATGACAACAAAACTATCGAAAAAATATGTTACAGAATTTAATTTCAAATTTTGTTTACACTAATGTAACCGGCATTTGGAGAACTTCTGATGAACATAGTACTAACTACTACTACTTTTTTAGATTTTTTATTACTTGGGTTGGTGGGCGAGCTCACAGCCCATCTGGTATTATGTGGTTACTGAAACCCATAGACACCTACGACGTAAGTGCCGACACCTACGTCGGGACCTTCTAAGTAAGATAAGTTCTGAGTCTCAGTTTTTACAGTACAATGGCTGCCTTACCCTTCAAACCGAAATACTGCTTCACGGCAGAAATAGGCAGGGTGATGTTACCTACCCGTGCGGACTCACCAGAGGTCCTACCACCAGTTATTATATAGATATGGCTTTTTTTTTGGAAAGAAGGTCATCGTCGAACTTTTGTTCTCATACTGTGACGGCGTATGCTGAGGCTTAATCAGCTAAAGCCTCAATGAGACGCGACCGAACCTCGCCAGGGACAAAACACATTCCAACGGAGGTAAAGCAAAGCGTTTGACTAGTGACACGACAGTGAATTATGACTGACTAAGAAGACGCAACTGTCAACCCTCTCGGCAAGGGAGATAACATTACTTGTTGAGGAATAATGGGTAGATAATCTTTGCCTAATCTGGTATTGAAAGTTGCTGCCCATCATATTATCATAACATCAATGCCCCTCCCAAATGTCCCACCCTCCAAACTAGAATGCAAGACTAGTATCATTGGTAATACAAAATCGTATTTTATATATTGTTGTGCTTGCTATATAGTCAACAAACTTGGTGATGCATTAATTAGAGCCCCTGACTGTTACGCCGAGGGTCGTGGTCTTGATTCCCACATCTCACAAACATTGCGTGATGAACAGGTTTGCTTGCTCTTTATCTGGGCCTTTAATACCTATATATCGAACCTTTAGAATTATAGAGACCAATTTAGAAATTTTTGGATTTCGACTTTAATTCAAAAATAGACCTAGAACGACCTTTTTCGGCAACTCTTAATAATCAAATGACCGAAAATAGCTTCTAAAGTGACAAACTTATCCATCTGTCTCTTTCATTCCGTCCCATTCCTATAGGTATTTCGGTTTGAAAACTTTATTCGATGTTTTGACAAAAAAAGCACATTTTTTAGGTTGAGTCTCTATAATTCTAAAGGTACGGTATGTATAATAATATATTTAAACGCACATAAGTACGTTTGTCAGTCTCTGATACCCATAACACAGGAATCCTAAATTGGGGCTGTTCATCCAGCTCCAATTTAGGATGTGTATGATTTTTAGCCAGTTATTTATTATATATGAGCCTAAACTCTCCAACACGATGACCGACCTCATAAAATCTGTGACTCACTCCAACATAAATGATTGTTCTCATTCTGCGAAACATCGTCCCATATGGCGTCGCATCGCGAGAGCATCGGTATCGCAGGATCCGACTGATGCATGACCACGACCACTCTGTCAAGAGTGTACGAACAGAAAGAAGAAGAGCCTAAATTTGTAATAGTTAAAGCAGTTTCTTAAACATACTTAAAAAAATACAGACCTGTGTACAAGCCGTTTGTCCGAGAGTGCATAGCACAACTCTTAGGGTTGTCTGCACTCGGTTAGTCCACATCAAGGCGATCACATTGTTAGCTGTGAACTGGACTGTCCTCAAGATCGGCCTGGAATGAACGATTTCCTTTGTTATTGCATCCTACACGTAGTTTAATGGTGGTTGGACCTCTTGTGAGTCCGCACGGGTAAGTGCCACCACCCTGCCTATTTCTGCCGTGAAGCAGTAATGCGTTTCGGTTTGAAGGATGGGGCAGCTGTTGTAAATATACTTGAGGGCTTAGAACTTATATCTCAAGATGGGTGGCGCATTTACGTTTTAGATGTCTATGGGCTCCGGTAAACGCTTAACAACAGGTGGGCTATGAACTCGTCCACTCATCTAAGCAATAAAAAAAGTGCCTTGTGACAGTATGATAACATACCCGTCGCCTTTATTAATTTGTGTCGTACTGATAATGATACTCACTCGTTAAGATCGCTGGGGGCAGCGTACGCATTCGACGAGCCAGAATTGAGATCCCGCAGAGTAACCGTAACAGTTGGATTGGTTGTGCCGGGCTGGAATTATTTGCAACATCATTAGGTATTATTAATATAACCAGCTATTAAATAAAATTACACGGTCAGTCGTATGCTTTATACATAGTTGTTACTAATGTTTTTCGGTGACTAGTACACTAAAAATAAAAAATAAAAAGTGCGTGCGTACAAAATACACATGAGTCGTCTATTATCAAAGGTGGCAATCTGTGTATTTGGACAAAAAAATGTTATTGATATGTCAATACAGATTGATTTGAATATAATCGTCTCCTTCAAAGAATACGGTTCAAAACCTTAAATTAATTAATTAAGCATTAAATAAAGGTTAATACTTAACCTGTTATTTATCTAAGATGTCGTTCAGAAGAGTTTTGTGACTGCCAATGGAATACAAAGTCAATAATTCGTTTTTCTGATTTACCAATAATTGTCCAAAAGTCACATTGCCGGCTTTGGTAATAGTCGACTCACATGTCAGAAGTGAAACTTTTTTGGCGAAATAATTTATAAGTCTTGCTTATATGTATACAAATCTAAAACTTTAGATTTCCGAGACTTAGAGGAAGGGAAAAAGGAAGTTATGTTCCCGCCAAAAGTCTGTCAAATGTCAATCTCAAACCTCAGTGTTGACAGTCACATTATGTTTAGATGTCTAAATTGTAAATGACTAATATTTTGCAAATTGAATTGACTTACTTAATTTCATGCTATTTGATTAATGTTGCAAATTCTTTTCATTTCATTTCAATTCCTATTACCATTTTTCAGAAAGAAATTATAAAATATTAGGCTGTATGGTATGATACATTTGCCTTTCCAGTTGGAAAAATACAACAACTACTACTACTGACATTTGACAAGTACTTAATTTCAATAGTAGTTTGATGTCACTTCCGTTGCATACCTGTGTGAAGTTCTGTAAAAAGTTTACCCTCATGCGCCTAAAGAAGTTTCACTTCAAAATATATATCATGTGTTGCGTTCTACCCTGTAGCACTTTATAATAATACCATTTGAAAAACAGCTGACATGTGGGTCAACGGCCTCTTGGTATACGAGGTTATCGGTTCACTATATTTGTTAACTATACATTGCGGATTGACGTTTTCGTTGAAGTTGGATAGATAGAGTGTATCTGAATTTTTTTTTCATTTCTAAGCAGCAGACATTTTTATAGCGGTCTTTAACCTTGAAAATGTAATTACATAATTATGTCAACTAACTGAGTCGGATTACAAAACGAATAACTGCTTTAAATGTTTTAATTACATTGCGGGTACGTTCCACAAATTAAATTTCAAAGATTTGATAAATTCATTTTACATTACTAATACAATTAAGAGTAAGTATTGAAAGTTAAAACGTACTTATACAAAAACATTCAGTCCAATCACATTGCGTAAGCTTCGCCATTGCCACATTTATTACGTGATATTGTCCTGCATTGGGCAGTGCATAAACCTGTTTCTTAGGCATTCACTGCGAGAAGTCATTAATTTAAGGTACAGAGACATGTTGAAATATGAATACACAGAAACTCAGTTCAAAGTAATTTCTGAACAATTAGTGCGCGTTTTTTAAATTCTCTATAAATAAATAGGTAAAAATCAAGGGTTAAGTTTCTTTGTATCCATCTTTATTTTTTTGTTTAGTGAATATTATCAAGCATTACTTTTTTTTTCTAACAGCTTTATTTTCATCTGTGTTAGCGTTTAATTTCATTAATAATTCTTTTTTTATTATTTCAAAACTTATTATTTCAAAACTTCAGTTATATAAAAAAATGAATATCCTTTTTTATAATTGTCTGAATTCTAAATCATTAAATTAAACATAGAAACCTAAGCAAAGACAATTTGTCAAACTACCCTCCTCCAAACATCCCATTCATGAATGAAAGAGTGAATGAAAAATTGATGAATTTCGTGGAGCCATTTAATTGCAATACGTTATGTGGTATTAAAATAGTAATAAAAAATAGAATTCAAATTAGGAATAACAAGCCCTATAACACACGTCCGTTTTATTTAATTTAAATAAACGAAATATATCGTTAAAAGCCATTATTAAAACTAGAGGTCCCGCAGTAGTTGAAATTCGACTATAATTAATTGGAATTGTAAGTTTGTATACTATGATGATTGTATTTTATACTTTTTTAATCACAAATTTCGCCAAGACTACACTATAAAAATATTAACAAAGACAAACAATATTTAATCTCAATTTGACAACAGACGTCAAGAACAAAAGTTTGACAATAAATAGTATGCATGCGTGTGTGCATCAAATACATGGTATGTAGTGTGTGTAATATATTTTTTATTGATTTTATGTATCTTTTATGCATTATTTTAAAAAAATATTAGCATTGTGCACTTCTTCTCTATATTCTCTATAAGTGTGGAAAATTTCATACTCCTTTGTCCGCGCAATTTTCGTAAAAAGGGATACAAAGTTTTTGCTTCACGTATTAATATATTAAAATACACAGTGCCAATAACGAATAGCAGTTAAAATGTGTGTTGTCAGAGATTAGTTTAAAAAAGACAAGAACATAACCTTACCCTTAAGAGATCCGTAAAGTAGCATAATATTGTTATAAAATCAAGTTATGTTTAATCAAAGAGATTCGAGTTTGCAGTAGGTAATAACGGAACACACCCGAATTACCGTAACATATTATAACGAACGTTGTTCGTTTTCATAAAAAGTTGCAAGCACTCCGGCCTGTGATTATGGCCGAAGGGGAAATTACAACTTCCAAAATACACGAGCCGAACGCTTTGTTCGTTGGATTGAAACAGACTTTAGTCGACTTCATCTTTCTTCATACGGAAGACTTTCAAAAACAACAGAAGTTGTATAATTGAAACTCGTTTGACTTCTCTCATTTAATTCATGTTTCTTTATTTTTTTTGGAAAAGAACAACTATATCGAGGGCTAAAAGGCTTTGTTTAAGCGACGACGTTTTATCTTTGTAATTAAGGGTGCATGTTATTTGGTATTAGCATCAACAGTTCGATGTTTTTAATTAAACTTCAATTAAGCTTACTCCATTCAAATAGCTGAAGAAGCTTTTCTTTTTGTTACGAGATTCTTTACAATTGTTAAACTTTAAGTTTTTTATATTTTGTATTGCTTAGATGGTTGGACGAGCTCACAGCCCACCTGGTGTTAAGCGGTTACTGGAGCCCATGGACATCTACGACGTAAATGTGCCACCCACCTTGAGATATAAGTTCTAAGATCTCAGTATAGTTACAACGGCTGCCCCACCCTTCAAACCGAAACGCATTACTGCTTCACGGCAGAAATAGGCAAGGCGGTGGTACCTACCCGCGCGGACTCACAAGAGGTCCTACCACCAGTAATTACGCAAATTATAATTTTGCGGCTTTCACTTTTATTACACGATGTTATTCCTTCACCGTGGAAGTCAATCGTAAACATTTGTTGAGTACGTAATTCATTAGAAAAATTGGTACCCGCCTCGGATTCGAACACAGGTGCATCGCTCAACACGAATGCACCGGACGTCTTACCCCTTAGGCCACGACGACTTTAAAAAGTGCTGTCCAGTAAAGCTGCAAAAATTTCGCTTAAATCAAACAGCTTTTCACCTCGCGATATGGTAAATTAATGATAGGTAAAGAAACACCGAATAAGCTTCCATCATTAATTCAACACGAGTGCTCACTCACTTAATGGCTTAAAATTATCGTAAGGTAATAAAATATAACAATAAAAAATTACTCTAACAAATCGGACCTAAATAAACGCATAAAAAATCCAAAATTGCATTTCAACATTTTGCATGATGTATTTGAACAATTTTATTGTCATGTCAACATTGGATTATCATTGAACTACTTTTTTCTTTTTTTTTTTGTCCTACCTAAGCTGATAGCCTTAGGGGCTATTTCAGCGTAACCCTAACGTTTGTAGGTGAGCTCACGGGGCTCAAATCTGGTGACGTTGCTAACACGAACCCTAGCAAGAGCCATGCTTCGCAGAATCTACCACCGGATCGGAAACGCGACCCACTGAGAAGATCCGGCGAGAAACTCAGTGGGCTGTGTCTGAGAGTTAATTTACTCGTCGAGCCCTTCGTCGCATGCGACGGGTTCGACGAGAACGGTGACCGGTGCTTGAAGTACCTAAAAGCACCGTTAGTGGATCGGGAGGATCCGAGATGACGTGTTTTGGGCGACGTCGACTGCTTTCCATTCTGTCCGCAGGATCGGGAATGTAGTTACCGGCGGCCACGATGAGAGGGTTCTCGTGTCGTGCCGCTTTATCGAAGTGGCNCGAGCCCTTCGTCGCATGCGACGGGTTCGACGAGAACGGTGACCGGTGCTTGAAGTACCTAAAAGCACCGTTAGTGGATCGGGAGGATCCGAGATGACGTGTTTTGGGCGACGTCGACTGCTTTCCATTCTGTCCGCAGGATCGGGAATGTAGTTACCGGCGGCCACGATGAGAGGGTTCTCGTGTCGTGCCGCTTTATCGAAGTGGTTGAACTACTAATAATGCAGCTATACACCAGATTTTGGCTATATAATTAATTTTAAGCATTTTACTTACCCGACATAATGTAATTTAATATATATAAGTTACTAGCTGTACCTGTTCGCTTCGCTAGGCATTTAAAATTAACATTACTATTTCTCACCCCCACAAAGATCCTCATCATTAACGCCCCCGCAACTGGTGTAGGGAGTCCAACACTCATATATTAAATATTAACCTATCCATTAAGTACATGTATTTTCTAAATGGATACCAAGTTTCAAGTTAATCGGATGCACGGTTCAGTATTTATAATGGAACATCCGTAAAAACCACTGTAGATTTATATATTAGTATAGATAAAAAGATTATACCAAAAAATAAACCTTAAATTTCAACTTCAAATCGCGCGCTAATTTTCATCAAGTAAGTTTTCATAATATATTTATAAATTGATTCATGGATAAACACTATATCATGATAAACAAGGTTGAAGTGGAATATTTAATTAGTCGCTGTTATTATTGTTCGTTTTCGATAAAACTCGAGAATAAGCCCGTTTGAGCAATTATGTATTTCTTCAGACGATCTTAAAAAGGTTATTTGAATACTTCCTTTAAGAGTCAGAGTATTTCACGTTAAAGAGCGACCCGGCTAACGCTTTAGCATTGCCAATGTCAATGGGCGACTGTGAGCATTTCTTTATTAGATGGGCTGTGTAAGGCCAGTCAAAACTCCCAACTGGACTAAATAATGACTGTACCACCATTCAAACCAATACACTTAATTCATTAAAGGCAGAAATATATACATAATGGTTCGCAATACGTATTACCTTCACTAAATATGTTTCTCGTGAAGACCCTGTTGAGTCTAAAAATAAAAATTTTCAACACTGACTTTTGAATTGACTCGCCTAGGGTTCGTAGGTTCGGTTCCCAAATCGGCCAAACATTCGTGTGATGAACAGATTTGTTGACTCTTTGTTTGGGTGTTTATTATCTGTATTTGTATATATTTAAATGTATTTGTATGTCAATTTCTGGTACCCATATAACAAGGAATCCTAATTTTGTCCCCAGTTTTTTTTGTTATTTATTTTTTTCAACAGAATAAGGCTGCGTACCTTAGGATATCTTATTTGATGGTGCTGGGTGTATTGGTAGTTGATGTTGCCTGGGACGCCGTAATGCGGGACCGGCATCACCCGAACGTTTGTATCGTCAAAAGTCACGTAGGCTAACTTCTGACCATCCGCCGAGAACCACATCGCGTTGTTTGAGCTGAAGACTTCCTCTGTAATTATTATTTATTTACTAACACCTGGGTCAACGAAGGATGTATTACGAGGACGGGCAGAGAGAGAGAGAGAGAGAGAGAGAGAGGGAGAGAGAGAGTATTCTTTATTGTACACAAAAAAAAAGTCGAAACATTAAATAAATAATTAAAGTACAATTTTCGGGCTTATCACTAAGAGCGATCTCTTCCAGACAATCATCAGGTGTACAAGAATCGTTTGAAGAGTATACAGCCGTTTTGCTATAAAGTTGAGACTTTTATCTCAACGCACTATTGGCACTGCTAATCACTTCAAATTAGGAATCATTTCAAAATCGTTCATTTCTGACATCCATCATATTGTATCGGTTTGCATTAATATCAATTCAAATTGTATATCTAGTATTGAAATTTTTTATCTGCATTATCTTTAGTAGGCCTCAAAGAATGATAAAGAAAAAAATAACGTCACCGAACTGACCTTCATAGACCCAATCGGGAACACCGTGATAGATGACATTAATCTCGCCTGTAGTCGTAATCTGTTGAGGGACGGCCGTCAAGCTCGACTGATAGAAAATGTTGTTCAAATAGACGAAAGCGAGAGATGTGCCTCTAGGACCCCATACGAAGTTCTGGAGGAAGACCTCGCTGGATTGTACTCCAGGAGGGACGATGTCTCGTTCAGAGCCGGTCGCGACGTCATAAGCAGCGTAGCGAGCCAAGAAACTGTATCTGAACAGCTGAAATGTAAAATAAAATTACTTTTTTCTACCTATTCGCTGGGAGATATTCGCCTAGGAGCTATTCCAGTTAGTCCGGACTGGTAGATGAGCTCAGGAGCTCAACCTGCGAGAATTTGCTAACACCAGCCCTAGCAAGAGCGGTGCTTCTCGGAACCTAGTGGTAGGACCTCTTGTGAGTCCGCGCGGGTAGGTATCACCGCCCTGCCTATTTTTGCCGTGAAGCAGTAATGCGTTTCGGTTTGATGGGTGGGGCAGCCGTTGTAACTATACTGATACCATAGAACTTATATCTCAAGGTGGGTGGCGCATTTGCATTGTACATGTCTATGGGCTCCAGTGACCGCTTAACACCAGGTGGGCCGTGAGCTCGTCCACCCATCTAAGCAATAAATAAAATAAAAATCTACCACCGGATCGGAATCGCAACCTACTAAGAAGATCCGGCGAGAAACTCAGTGGGCTGAATAAAATAACATTTTTCTTAAGCTTGAGCTTTAATTTTTTCACTTTCTGATTTTTTACCATCTGATTTAAATCTTTTACTGCTTGCTCATAGCATGCCTGGTGGGGACTGTTTACTGAAATCCACAGACATCTCAACGTGCTAACACTAAAATGAGGTCTAATCCTCATTTATCTAACTCTTCACACCGGTGGTACCCGCCACGAACGAAATGCATGGTTGTACGTCCCTATTCTCACATTACGCCTTCCACCAGTAATACAAACCTCTTCACTATGTTTCAGTACTACAGTGGATAAAAACATTCGCCTAAAGACCCAGCTGTCTTTGAGGCGACGTGACGTCATTAAAAACTATTTACTTAGACCTTTTTGCCTTAGAGTAAACCTAAGATAAAAAGAAAATAATATAGATAGAGTTACTTTTATAGAATATTAGACGGTGCTAAGCAATTTTTTTTTATTGCTTAATTGGTTGGACGAGCTCACAGCCCACCTGGTGTTAAGTGGTTACTGGAGTCCATGGACATCTACAACATAAATACGCCACCCACCTTGAGATATAAGCTCTAAGATCTCAATATAGTTACAACGGCTGCCCCACCCTTCAAACCGAAACGCATTACTGCTTCACGGCAGAAATAGGCAGGGCGGTGGTACCTACCCGCGCGGACTCACAAGATGTCCTACCACCAGTAAAATAATTATTTAATTGTTTAAATTATTTAAATTTAATTATTTAAATGCCGAGGAATAGCACTTTTAGTCATCCGAGACCACGAAATCGGTCGGAAATATTATGTAGTATATTGTAAATAATAAACGTTAGATAAACCCGAAAAATAATTTTAATTGCGTCTGCGTCCCGAAAACCGTAGGAACTAACATTCCATTGGTTCACAATAATAAAATATAAGTCAAAACGCATATTCCCCGTGCGAGAGTCCCTCCTTTTTGATTAGTCCGCTTATGAAGAAAAACGTCAGTTGTGTACAATGAATACGACAGAAACTCATTATAAATATCTTTTGTTTCTTGAACAGCTATTTACACAGATGTGTCGTCACAATAACTTGATACGAGCTGTTTGTGGCATGCCAACGATTTATGAAGGCAATTAATTTATAATTCAACTACAACAGAGCATTCTGCGTTTGCATGAATACGTTATAAAAAAAAGACAGTTTCATTAACGAGGTCAACGTTAGTATTTAATTATGAGATAATTTTTTTGTTGTCCATAATGATTAATTTTTTTATTTTTTATCTTTATGCAAGACAGACGAGCATACGGACCATCTAATAGTCAGTCGTTATGGCCAATCATGGACTTCAAGCCAGGCCCAGGGACCCAAAATCCTGATTATCGGCGAGGACTGTCTGCAATTTTTGATCTAAGAATAGCATGTAATCAACAAACATCGCTGATAGGTATTCATTCCATAACTCTGCTGGTCATCATCATTATCCTGCCCTTCTCCCAGTCACCTGGGGACGGCGCAACATGTTTTCTCCTTCTATACTCTTCTATCATATACTATTTCTTCGCTCACTCCCCTCTTACCCATATCGTCTTTCACGCAATCCATCCATTTCTTCTTAGGTATATGTCTTCCCCTTTATCCTTCCACATTGATAGTTAACATTCTCTTATCAACCTCATTTTCATTTCGTTTCATCACATGTCCATACCATCCCAAACGCGCACTTCTCAGCTTCTCTGTCACAGGTGCCACTTTCAGACTTCCTCTAACATATTTATTCCGTATTCTATCCATTCTCGTTACTCCACACATCCATCGGAACATTCGCATCTCTGCTGCATGCAATCGCCTGCCACAACTCTGCTGCTACCATGCAATAATAATAGCTCTTGCAATTAATTGAGCGTCTTAAATTCTAAAATTATTTAGAGCCCGCATATTCTCCGTTTCCTGTCACATACTCGTATGTGGTTAAATGAACCACAGGTGACTTCTGTGGCTATCAGAATTCGTGAACAGGAAAACGTGGCGTTGTCACTAAGCAAGAGAGTCAAACGCGAATGAATACTAATCTGCCTAAGAACTAGAATAAATGATTACAGCAGAAATACGAGCGCATATGCCGGTCCTGTAATATGTTTTCTATCTCCCTACAATACGAACGATCGATGAGAGCGAACGGTCCCTCCAACATTTTGTAGTTCCCAGAATTTAGCTCCAGTAAAACTTTTAAGTACTAAACACATTGGTCAATTGTAAAATTTATTAAATTACAAACTAATTTAAGACTTGACGAGTATGTCTTTGTTCAAGTCTAATTAATGTGTAAACAAAAGGCACAGTGTACTCGCTATTGTGAGCTGCTCACGGCTGGAGCCGGATCTCCGTAAAACCATTTCAAATATTATTGCTTCAACCGTCAAATATTACTTTGATCCGCTTATTACGAAACTTCTTGTTTCAATTAGCTTTGATCATTATTATTTTGTGATCTCCTTTCGATTTATCTAAATGATCTTATAGAACAAGAATTTGATTAGAAATAACGAAAAAGAAAATTGTAAAAGTACCTAATTAATATCGATAGAAAGGCCAGTGCAATTTTAGCATATTTTATGTATTAGTCACGTTTTGCTGTTCTATTTCAATATTTTTTTAACAATATATCCACGTTTGGGTGGTAGGGAATCTTGCGAGCCCGCACGGGTGCTTACCACCGCCCTATGTATTTCTGCCGTAAAGCAGTAATGCTTTTTGGTTTCATGGGAGGGGCAGCCGTTGTACTACAAGATTGACACTTAAAACTCATGTATCTAGATGGGTTGCGGGCTATGGGCTCCGGTAACAACCTAACAGCAGGTAGGTCGTGATTTCGTCCACCCCATGCAATAAAAAAAAAAGTGTAATTTAATGCTCACCGGCGCAACGCTGTAGGCCAGGATGATTTGTGACCCATCAGAAGAGAGCTGCGTCACTCGCGAAGACTGCTGCAAAGTCTGAAACATATGCAAACATTTTGTTTTATAAAACAGCCCATAGGCAATACTAATCGATTGGCTTGGTATTGAGCAAATACCTATTTATCACGTATTCACAAACAATATATGACATGAAAGAATCAAATTGGATTCTATATTCGTTTTTCATTTGTAAGCATCTGTTGGCCCCACGTTTTAAGCCCTAGGGGGGTATACAGAAAAGGTTCAAAGCCACTAAGTAACCCCAAAACGACCCCGCTGGGACAGAACTCCAACAAGGTTAATACCACTGGCTTGCGCAATTTTCGCCATCTCTCGGTCGGGCATACGAACACAGCCCTCCACGCATTCCCGGTCTATACTACAGATTGAAAAACGGATAGTGCGCGTTCCTTCCCAAGGTTGCCTTTTTTATAGCGACAATGCACAAATCAATACCAGAAGGATTGCTACACGAAAAAGGCCTTTTGCTAAAGCTAAACACTCATGCGTTGCCCTTAGAAGGTTGCGACAGCCTCCTTTACAATACAATTGAGACTCTCTAGCAGGTTTTTCTTTTTATCACTTAAATACTGGGACGAGCTCGCGGCCCTGGTGTTAAGTGGATACTAGAGCCAGTTGCCTTCAACAACGTAGATGACATTATCCATGAGACATTATTTCTAAGATTCCGTTTTTATAGTACTACGGCTGTCCTACCCTTCAAACCGAAACGGGTTACTGCTTCACGGCAGAAATAGGTAGGGTGGTGATAGCTACCCGAGCGGGCTCAGAAGACTTCCTACCACCTGTCACGCAATGATTTTAAGAAAATGCAACAAAGCTATCTGCTAAGTAGAGCGTTTTATTTTTATTTTATCCCCAAATGTAACAAGTCACGCACATGACATTAAAGTAAAATTGAAATTAAATGACTCAACGTTTAGTAGTCTGTTAAAAAAAATTGCACAATTCATTGCTTTATAGTAAACACATTGTCTCTCTGAATTGCAATTCGATTTTACAAGTTTTATTGCACCCGCTGAAATAACCTTGACCCAGATGCTCGCTTGTGACAGCGAACGAAGCGGTTTCTGGGTTGCTTTTATTATTTTCTGCGTCTATATATTAATGCGACCCGTGAGATACTAACGTAGCTTAGTACAAATTAAAACTAGATTCGAAATCCATGTTTAGAGTCCAATATTCGTTCTCTTTCACGAGATAAGCCGCTGGGTCTCACGAGAGATTTTTCGGGTAGGTTTTTTTTATTTTTGTGAAATTGTATTGAACTCACCTGTGATGTGTTGGCAATTAGAATTATTGTATCTCTAGAATCCACGTTGTATTGAACCAAATCACCGTTAAAGTTTCTAAACAGAATTTCGTTGCCTGAAAAACATTAAAAACTTTTCTACAAATATACTAGTGAACTTCATATCTTTTGAAGCAACACGTCTTTTTAACATGGTTTCATTAGCATGGTATTTGGTATTCACAGACTTCAAGACGACCGATTAACTTAAAAATTGGCACACGCAACAAGGACCAATGACAATTTTATAACTTCTCTCTGATATCCTGACCAGTAGCAAAAGGATGAAAAAAAGATACATTTAATCATTTAGTTGTTATTAGCTTATTAGCTGTTCTTAGTAGCGTATTTCTTTAGTTTTTACACTACATAGGTATATTTCTGTTGAGATAGGTTTGAAGCGAATAGAATAGAAATATAACTTCTCTCTAATATCCTGACCAGTACCAAAAGGATTAAAAAAAAGATACATTTAATCATTTAGTTGTTATTAGCTTATTAGCTGTTGTTAGTAGCGTATTTCTTTAGTTTTTACACTTTCTGTTGAGATAGGTTTGAAGCGAATAGAATAGAAATAGCTTAGATAGACGACTAAAGTGGCGGATGAAAGGCGATTGCATGCAGCAGAGATGCGAATGTTACGATGGATGTGTGTAGTAACGAAGTCTGAAACCTGGCACCTGTGACAGAGAATCTGAGAAGTGCGCGTTTGGGATGGTATGGACATGTGATGAGACGAAATGAAAATGAGGTTGATTTGGTGACTGATTAAAAATGAGGATCAAGTGACTGGGAGAAGGGCAGAAGAATGATGATGAGAATAGAAATAGCTTAGAAATTAGATTTTCGTCTACAAAAATTTGACCCATCTTTTCTTTTGTGTTCTTCGGATTCAATTATCGTATAATAGTGCCATTGGAGTCAGAGTTCGTCTACAACGTGTTTTTTTTTTTGTAGATATATATTTTGCTATCATTAGGCCCTGAAATGAGCTCCCCAACACAAAGCACCGAGTGCCATTATTTTATCGAAGGAGACTTACAACGGGTCCTGAACAAAAAGGCATATGGCATTACCGCTGAACAAGAGTGGCAATAAGCATCAAACAAAATATATAACTCATTTTCTATGACATAATCTCACCAGACGACCAAGAAGCGTTGAATGAGTTGGCCGAATAGAGTCCGTTTATGATCGATTCAAGATCGAGCGGTTCTTGAGGCGGGTCTGTTGGTGCATCGGTGGTCGTGGGCACGGGTGGAGATGTCGTGGGCGGTGCTAGTGTTGTAGTCGTCGTGGTCGTCGTGGTAATGGGCGAGGTTGGTCCTTCAGTTGTGATGATAGGATCGGCCACTCCTCCATCGTTATCAGCTAGCAGCACGACCACAGTGACGACTACCGCGATAATAAGTACCATCACACCAAAGCCTATACCGTATGTTATATTCTTCTTACGTTTACTCGCGACCAGAACCTAGGAGGAAAAGCATTTATTTTTTAATATGTTCTAGAAATATTTTAATGGATTTTTTTAGGACGAAAGATTATGACACACAGCCACACTTATCGACACTTAGAGATGTGATGCAATCTTGTGATAAAAAATACATCGATAACCGAGACATTGAATTGACGACTATCAATTGACCGTATAACACAAAAACATTTGCTCCAAAAATTACTAAGAATCATATTTTATTATTTTCATGGCTTTTCGTACGACAGTAATGTTAACAGGTCAGTGACCTTTTTCCAAGATAATTATTTTATAATTTGAACTTAGAATTTGTCTACAAATACGATAATTCAAATAACCCTTTTATCCGTATGATCTGTATTTGGATTTGATTATTATTATTATTCGTTCCAAGGAATGTTAAATAACTAGTTAAGTAGCTGGGGAATAGATATCACAATGAGAATTCCGCCTCTATTATATATCGACAGTCCAACCAGAAGTCAGACAGAAAAGAAAAAGACGTTTTTTTACATAATAATATATTCCTTAAATGATACACGTCAGTCTTTAGTAACAGTTTTTTTTTATATATATTCCATCTCTCGGTATGTGAAAACCTACGATTACGATATTTTCCTCAAACTTGGGGAAAAACCTTTTTGACTTAAACGACGAAAAGTAAACTACACAACGTTAATATGCCCCCGAGGGAAATAAAATACATTGAGGTTTATGTTGAAAACGTTGGCGAATTGAGCTGAAAATTTTATTAAAAATTCATAAGTCATAAATTGTATATGAAAAAAAAAAAGTTTTACATGGTCGCTCGCTAGATGGCGGTTTACCGGCTTCCTATGATAGGATTATATTAGGTGACTTAGTAAGCATTGACGACGAAGAGTTCGACGATTGAACTAACCCATAGACACAGCCCAATGAGTTTCTCATCGGATATTTTCAGTGAGTCGCGATTCCGATCCGGTGGCAGATTCTGCGAAGCACTGCTCTTGCAAGGGCTAGTGTTAGCAAATTCTCTCAAGTTGAGTCCGTGAGCTCACCTACCCGTCCGCGTGTAGTTAAAATACCTTCTTAGGCTACCAGCGAATAGGTAGAGTAGAAAAAAAAGTAAGCATTGTAATTATCTAAGTGTCATTTCCATTTATTCCACAGACATCGATTACCAAATCATTCACATCACTGGCGGTAAGACCTCTTGTGAGTCCGCACGGGTAGGTACCACCACCCTGCCTATTTCTGCCGTGAAGCAGTAATGCGTTTCGGTTTGAAGAGTGGGGCGGCCGTTGTAACTATACTTGAGACCTTAGAACTTATATCTCAAGTTGGGTGGCGAATTTACGTCGTAGATGTTTATGGGCTCCAGTAACCACTTAGCACCAGGTGGGCTATGAACTCGTCTACCCATCTGAGCAATAAAAAAAAAGAGAATTAAGTCCGGCCCGCTAGTACATTAACCAAGGTAACTAACCACAAGACCATCAAGGCGACTACTGGGATATAAAGTAACAAGGCATTACAATGTCAATGTCAATAACATCGCTGTCAATCGGCATAACGAACATAATCAGTAGCTACTTTCTAAACGTTATTCAAAAACAATAATAGCGTTAGCAACGAAATTCTTCATTGAATTCATAAGCATAATTTTCTCCAATTACATAACACGTGGAGAGAAGAAACGCTGTTGTATCATCAACACCGGTATTGCATATTCAATTATTATTGGACGCGACAAAAAATAATTGATACCCAAATTTTAAATATCTTCTATCCATATTATAAAATCATTAGTGAGTAACAAACAACATTAGAGTTCCATCTTTATAGGTATGCATTGACAGTGTTTTGTGACGATCATCAAAATATAATTCTTTGATAACATATTCCGGCTTGTGCTATCAAGTTTCCAGGCTGGATGTCTCGTGATCAAGATCGTATGCTCACGCACTGTCAATTACATAGTCGGTTACTGATTGACAGTGACAATCGAAGTTAAACAGATAACGGAGCTGCAAGCTATCTTGAAAAATCACATAAATTTAAATAAAAGTAAAACCTAGTTTTTGCCTTTTAGTTTCCGCTGAGCGATGAAGCAGTAATGTTAATTACACTTTTTTGGTATGCACAAATATTGCTGATTCATTGGACACGAAAACAGTGAGCACTTTAAAAAAAAATCAGCATTCACATTCACGAAAAAATCGCAACAAATTCAAGTAACAAAACACGTAAGACCTTAGTCAGATTAGATCCATATTTTTGGATTAAAAATAAAATCCGGCACTGGCAAGATTGACTATTAATTCAACGATTTTAGGCAACGCTTTTGACTCTCGTGAGATACGAGCATTGCGTTCGCCGAACCGAACTTGAATGAAGAAAGACATATTATTTGCTTTGGATTTTTTTTTCTCTCAAGTCCACTCAGCTGATAACCCTGACGAAGCTATCGTTCAAGTACATTTACTTTTAAGAATGGGCGGTGAATCATTATTTTTTTAACACCATTGTATTTTTAATGAATACGTTAATAGTTTTCTTGTACGCCATAAGATGAGATAATATGAGTCTTAGCAATTAAAAAGACGTAAGGGAATACGCTGGACAGATTAGATCTAATATTGGCATCATAGCTGGCTGTGTAGTGTCGTCATGAAATAGTACTACTCAATATCTTCTCTTAAGTATCGTGAGTGACAAAGAGAATCACCGGAAAATGGTCAGCGACTTTCTTTGAATATTATAGCAGTGTACTGTGATCACCAACTTGGAAATCCAGTGGAACGTAGTAGTACATTATGCGCGAACGGATAAGAAAAATACATAAATACTAAATTCCGATATATTCCAGTATATAACGTTAAAAAAATATATTTTCGCACTAATTTCCATTGTAAATCTAAAATTCCTTAGGTTAAACTTTAACTGTAATTTTTTTTTATTGCTTAGAAAGTTGGATGAGCTCATAGCCCACCTGGTATTAAGTGGTCACTGGAGACCATAGACATCTACAACGTAAATGCGCCACCCATCTTGAGATATAAGTTCTAAGGTCTCAAGTATAGTCACAACGGCTGCCCTGCCCTTCAAACCGAAACGCATTACTGCTTCACGGCAGAAATAGGCAAGGTGGTGGTACCTACCCGTATGGACTCACAAGAAGTCCTACCACCAGTCAAAATCATTTATTGAATGACATTGAAATTTGAAATTACTGAATATTGAACCTAATGAATAGTGGAAATTACGATCATTTTGTTATAGAATCGCCAAAAAAAAAATACCTGGTCACTGGTGCCCATCTCCAACGTGGAGTTGCTGTTTTCTGTGGCCATGGTGGGGGAAGAATTTCACCTGTAAACAAACCACAAATTAACTTCATATTCTTTCTTTTATTATGAACTAGCGACCCGCCCTCGCTTCGCTTCGGAAACTGTAAGTTATTATTAATTTCTCCACTATTTAATGGATGTTATTATACATATAAACCTTCCTCTTCAATCACTCTATCTATTAAAAAAACTGCATCAAAATCCGTTGCGTAGTTTTAAAGATTTAAGTATACATAGGGATAGATATAGGGACAGAGAAAGCGACTTTGTTTTATACTATGTAGTGATAAAGGATTACTGGTACCCCAGAGGCCTTTCCAGTATCACAAGGACAGGTTGGCGAGCAAAGGCTCAGAGGAGGGGTGGGATTTGCTAACAACTGCCCGAGTGCCTCCAAAGGAGACCTAACAACTCAAAAGCAGCTGCTTCGCGAATGAATCTACCACCGGATCGGAATCGCGACCTTTTTTTTAATTGCCTTCAAATCGGAAAGCAAGGCTGCGTCGTGGCAGAAACAAGCAGCATTGCGGTTACGGTACGCCCTGCCACCAATGAATAAAAAGTTAGCCACCACAAAGTCGTCCTGGCCTAAAAGATAAGACCTCCGGTGCATCCGTATCTAGCGATGCACCGGTGTTCGAATCCCGCAGGCAGGTACCAATTTTTTCTAATAAAATACGTATTAACAAATGTTCATGATTGACTTCCACGATTAAGGAATAACAACGTGTAATAAAAATCAAACCCGCAAAATTATAATTTGCGTAATTACTGGTGGTAGGACCTCTTGTGAGTCCGCACGGGTGGGTACCACCGCCCTGCCTATTTCTGCCGTGAAGCAGTAATGCGTTTGTGTTTGAAGGGTGGAGCAGCCATTGTAACTATACTGAGACCTTAGAACCCATATCTCAAGGTGGGTGGCGGCATTTACGCTGTAGATGTCTATGGTCTCCAGTAACCATTTAATAATACCAGGTGGGCTGTGAACGCGTGTGAACTACGCAATAAATGAATAAAAACNCACCGCCCTGCCTATTTCTGCCGTGAAGCAGTAATGCGTTTGTGTTTGAAGGGTGGAGCAGCCATTGTAACTATACTGAGACCTTAGAACCCATATCTCAAGGTGGGTGGCGGCATTTACGCTGTAGATGTCTATGGTCTCCAGTAACCATTTAATAATACCAGGTGGGCTGTGAACGCGTGTGAACTACGCAATAAATGAATAAAAACCACGTATGTAAATTACTCAGATGATACTACTACCTTTCTGGCACCCATAAGAAAGAAGTCAATGTTATAGGCCAAAACCGCACAGCCAAATAAAATAAATATTAATATATTATAATAATTATTATACAGGTGGCGACAAGAAAGTAAACAAACCATATTTGTGAGTATTTTACACATCTCCGTCAACTACTTGTACACAAGTTATATTTAAATTATTGTATTATATTATTTGTAAAAGAAACGTTTAAAATACATGAAAATATTTTTATTTATTTTTTCCGAAACTTTCTTACCGAAATATGGTAGAGTTTGTTTTTCGCTTACTTTCTTAGATTTTTTTACAACCATTTCATTTAGAAGGGGAATTCCTGAAGAATTCGAGAAGGAGAGGGTAATTAAAGACAGGGTATTGCAACTGTTGGTGAGTCAAAGGATGTTCCATTATTAGCTAGAGACAGCTAAAGTCTCGACCTGATTGGTGGATATCAGTACGAATTTTGATATCCACCAATGAGCTGCCGGACAGACTATCTGTTATCAGTGTTCAATCCTCTGACCTTAACATACATATTCACGCTAGATGACATTTTAAAGATTCTGTTTTTTGCCACTTGGCTATAAAGCTTCGGAAGAAACAGACTTGCGTTTCAGCTTGAACTGTGATACAGCCGTTGTAGAATACAATGAGACTCATGTCTCAATGTGGATAACGACATTCACATTGTGCTCTCTATGAGCTCCTGTAACCACTTAACATCAGGTGGGCCGTGAGCTAGTGCACCCCAAAAGTACATTAATAAAAGAAGAAAACTACCGCAGACGATGTTTAATAGGTCGTTTAAAAATGCGGTCACTGCGTACATTATCCATATCAGTTGTTGTAATTAGTTTAATCTGTCTTAATATCGTAGCTAGTTTTATCTGCGCGCATATTATTGATAAACAAAATTATGCCATAAAATAATAATCTACCTCTTTCCAATATTATAAAAAAACGGCGCTTGTGAATGTATTTCTAATTGATTAAGGAATTATAATATTTTCAATAATAATTTGAAATCAAGCTTAACTCTAAAAAACCGAAATGACAATTAATTTCACCTTTTTTGTCCTGTTGATACAGGTCATAAATTATTGTATAATATTATATTCGATCGTTGATGCATATGCAAATTTTCAACTTAATCAGACGTTTTGATGTCGATAAAAAAGACATTCAAAGATTCCCTTACATATATTCATACCAAGCTGATAAAAACGTGTTAATGAGATCAATACGTATCTAAATGGTTTTCTTCGTCAGCGATAGGAATAATTTCAAAATAGGTTTTTATTATTGCTCTAATTACCGACGAATACACTGCCTAAGTAATCTTTATATAAATATAAATGAATTGCTGTTCGTTAGTCTCGCTAAAACTCGAGAACGGCTGGACCGATTTGGCTAATTTTGGTCTTGAATTATTTGTGGAAATCCAGAGAAGGTTTAAAAAGTAGATAAATATGAAAATGCTCGGAATTAAATAAAAATAAAAATATTGTTTTTCGTTTGATGTGTCCCTCGTCGGACGGATTCCTTTTGTTTGTTTTAATTTTATTTTATACAAAAGTTTAGGTCTTTTATTTATCGATTGAGGCACTACGAAGTCTGCCGGGTCAGCTAGTGTTAAATATTTACTGGACAATGAAATGAGGTCAAGTCTCAATTTTAATGTCTAATTACTGTACAAACTTTGGAGCCGAAAGGTATTATGAACTCTTGGCAGAAATAGGCAAAGCGATGGTAGATCAGTAACAGAGAAGATGGTGATAAACTACACATAAGAGATCTCTATAGGCTATTTATAAATGTAACAGGTTTATATCATAATACTACTTTATTATGTGTATTCCTATATTCTTCAACTTTATTCAGTCGCTCAATACTTCATGTTAAAGTTGATCATGGATTGCGTTAGGTATGCCTTTACTTTGAATAATCAAGGTTTGTCAGAAGATTTAAGCCCTAACATGATCGCGAACTGAAACGACAGGTATGATGACACAAGAGGTCCTACCACCAGTAAAGAAAAAATAATAATGCCAGTTTATGAAAGATATTTTATAAATATGTTGCAGATTTCTCGGCGTGAACCTGTTTTTTAAATATAATGAAGAAATTTCTTTCGATGGACACCTACAATAAAAAAGCGTATTCACCATCTCAAGAGGTAAGTGGATCCATTAGAAGTCGTAACGCTTTCGAGCTGGCATGGACATTGAGTTTTTTTTTATTGCCCTTGTAGGCAGTCGGGCATACGGCCCGCCTGATGATGAGTGGTTACCGTCGCCCATGGACATCAGCAATGCCAGGGGCAGAGCCAAGCCGCTGCCTACCGCTAACCGAGTTTCCTCTTTTCGTACAATCACAAAATTAGCTTGAACCAACATTCATCGACATATTATTATATCGTTGGAGAGAGACCTAAGAAACTGTTTCAACATATCTTCATTGATGTGGGAACAATGAGGGCAGACAAGCGAATGACATTAAAACTGATAAATCACGTTTTTTAAAAAAACCCAGAGAATTATAGTCTAACTACAAATTGTCACAAACGAAATGTTATGTAGTTTTAATACACCAAAGAGCTTGAGTTATAACTAACCATTTAAATGAATATAAAAATTTTAGTGTAGTCGTGGACAACTCACCGAGATTATATTTAAATAAAACAATACACCGGCCGCTGGCCGAAACCCCACCGCACTGAACTAAAAAACACATAAAATGCAATAAAGATAATCTATTAACAAATAAAGATATCCAGATAATAGTATTAAAGTAATCAACTATAGGAATATAGATAATAATACATTCACAAGACTTCAAAATTTACGAAACATGTGAATAATTTAAAAAGTTATCGTTTAACGATTTAAGTATCAGTCCGTCAGAGCTAATAAAAAGGATTGCTTTGCTGTCTTGCTTCTCCGCGTATTTGAATATTTAATTAAATCCAAGACATGCAACAAAGCCACACATAACACGAAGATAAAAAAAATCGTGAGTTTTATTGAATGACTACCTTTTGCCCGCGACTCCGTCCGCGTGGAATAGTTATTTTGGCATAACGCTAAATTTTACCCCCCACTTCATTTACGTAGAAAGAAAATATTTTTTATCTATATACGAGTATATAAAAATGAATTGCTGTTCGTTAGTCCCGCTAAAGCTCGTGAACGGCTGAACCGATTTGGCTAATTTTGATCTTGAATTATTTGTGAAAGTCCAGAGAAGGTTTAAAAGGTAGATAAATATGAAAATGCTCGGAATTAAATAAAAATACCAATTTTGTTTTTCCTTTGATATTTTTTTTTATTGCCCTTGTAGGCAGACGAGCATACGGCCCACCTGATGGTGAGTGGTTACCGTCGCCCATGGACTTCAGCAATGCCAGGGGCAGAGCCAAGCCGCTGCCTACTGTTTAATACTCTCCACAAGCCTCGTTTGAAGAAGGACATGTCATAGCGCTCGGGAAACACCGTGGAGGGGAGCTCATTCCATAGCCGGATGATATGTCCCCCGTCGGACGAACTCCTTTTGTTTTAAGTTTATTTTATACAAAAGTCTTATTTATCGATTGAGGTACTACGAAGTCTGCCGGGTAGTAACTAGATAAAAATGAGTACTACATTGCAATTTAAGTGCTAAGAGCTGTTACCAAATCAACATTTATCTATGTAATTATCGTTTCATGTTAGAAATTAATGTTAGTGTCACTTATTTATTTCCTATTTAACCTATATTAT